CACTAGGTTCGTCAGGCAGGACTTGCCCTTGGTGAAGCCATGCTGGCTATCTCGAATTACCTCCCTGGCCTCCATGTGCCTTAGCATAGCTTCTAGGAGGATCTGTTCCATGATCTTCCCGGGCACAGAGGTGAGGCTGACAGGTCGGTAGTTCCCAGGGTCTTCCTTTCTACCCTTTTTGAAAATGGGCACAATGTTTCCCTTTTTCCAGTCACCAGGGACTTCACCTGACTGCCATGACTTTTCAAATATCATGGAGAGTGGCTTGGCGACTACATCGGCCAATTCCCTCAGGACTCTGGGATGCATCTCATCAGGTTCCATGGACTTATGTGCGTTCAGGTTCCTCAGGTGGTCATGAACCTGATCTTCTCCTAGAGCAGGAGGGGTTTTGCCCTTCCGGTCCCCCTCATGCCATCCATCAACTTGGGAGGGGTGAGGAGAAAGGTTGCCAGTGAAGACTGAGGCAAAAAAGTGTTGAGTACCTCAGCCTTCTCCTCATCAGCTGTTACCAGCTTGCCAGTCTAATGTGTCCTAGATCTTGTCCTGGGTAACTAAGCAGTCTAGCATTCATCATAATATGGTAAGAGATGAATACAGAATGGATTAATTCATTATACAAATAAGAGTTCATGGCACTGATGGCTTGATGGAAAACAACGCTAAAAGAGAAAGGGAATTGTTTGCAATACATGATACAGATGTGCCATTGTAGAGACTGGAAAAATTCCATAAAGTCTATGCCTAGCCTAGAAGAAAGGAATGTGATGGAAATAAGGAAGAAGAAGACAAATTTGGGGGATATAATGCATATAGAAACTTGAATTCAGAACAGAGATAAAGGCATACAGAATTCTTCTCTGCTGTCTGATGTCTACACTGCCCTTTAACACTGGCTAGAAAATCACTGATGACCTGTGCACCAGGATGGGAATTGTGTCAGCTAGAGTTTAAAAGCTCTGAGATATGCCCCAGGATCAGGGAATCATAAATGGTATTTTTGCAGCTCGCACAGGCTCCAACTGTGATCATAGTTTACAGATGACCTCTGAGAATGGATGCCTCGGGAATGGACAGTCATGCTTATTATTCATACAGCCCTTAAAATATTTTAAATATTCCAAGATCTTCAATTAATTAAAGCTAATAACAGTATGAGCAAATAGAACAAAGAAACAACATTATAGGTAATTGATACGGTCTGGACTGTAATTTTGACATGTATATGAAGTACAAGCACTGCTTAAGAGAATGATTATGAGATGAATGAAAGCCATTGAATGAGTTGATCTTTACAAGATCCAATCCTGCTTTCAGTAAATGAGCGAGAGTGCTTTGCTGTTGATTTCCATGACAGCCAGAACAGAGTTAGGGTTGCAAGCCCACAAAAGCTTTACTTAATGTTACTGACTGTTCACAGACCTGTTTTTTTTTATGGAATTACTCTTAAGTGACAGCAGGAAAATTACTATGCTAAGAAATTCAGTTGATGTGGTTCGTAAACTTGAGTCACGATATTAAATGATCTGTTACCTATGTTCTTATAGTTAAGTATTTGCATTACAGTAATATCTAGAGCTTGCGATCAAAACTAGGTCCCTAATGAAACCAGAATAGGAACATCATGAGGCTCTTAGCCTGAAACCATGCCTGAAGATGGCTCAAATTCAAAATGAATTTGAATAAAGAATAAAGATTTTGTGAGCTGGCTCTCTGACAGTGCATGAGTTAACATAAGTATAAGCACTAATTTATACATTTTGTATGAATTTAAAAGGAATTAATACAAAAGGTAGAAAGCTAACCAGAAACAGGGTAAGCGTATTGTGCTAGCTTTCCCAGACAAGTGCTTTTTCTCTTGATGTGCCAAGATGCTACACTGTTTGCAGTTTTAACTGGAAGTTCTCCCTGATGTGCAAAAACAGCCGCCAAATAAAGGGGGGTTTTATGTTTAAATTAAGCCAAAATTTAATCTTAGGATCGACATTTCTAAACTTGCGTGTCTGCAAGATCTCAAGCTACTTATCTTTAGGTTTTATTTGGGACCCTAACATTATACATCCATACAGGTATATTGTGGCTTAGGTCTCTGAGTACTGGAGGTGTAATTTCCTTTAGGTTTCATCACTGAACTGGTATTCTTACTGCCAAAATTTCTATTGCATTATCATGGAGATCCTGATAATTAGCCCTGTAAGACTCTTATATACAAAATCCAGGTTATTATTTGCTCTATGCCTAGAAAAATGGTATCTGTTACTTGATGTTGTAGGTGCTGTTAGGACATGATATAAACTCTTTTCTGTGTGCATGTGTATGTGCTTGTATTAAAATGTGGGGTTTTTTCATCACAGATGATAGCAGCCTCCTAAACTTGACTCCATATCCATTGGTAAGAAGACGGAAGCGAAGATTCTTTGGACTGTGTTGTCTTGTCTCAAGTTAGAAGATTAAGTACAGAAGCACCAAGAAAATCATAACTTTGATTAAACCACTATTATTTGACCACTGAAAAAAGGAACATTGCTATTCTTGATTATAAACTACATTTTCTACACTAGCCTATTCCTTTTTCTCTTCTGCTCCATCCCTCTTTTCAAAATAAGGGTTTTAATAGTTTAAAGTTACAGTGGTCAAAAACCATCTGTGGAATAGATCTAGCATAACTAAGAATGTTTTTAAAACTTTTTAAAGTATGTTTTGCATGCTTACTTTCAACCACTCAGAGAAAAGACACATAAATTATAGTTAATAGATAATTTTAAAGGTTTTTTTATTGTTTGAACTGCAGCTAAAAGTTTGTGCATAGTACAGTACTCTTATTAGTATCATATTAAAATACTTGATAATATTCTAACAGTCTTTAAGTATAGCAAACTATTAAACAGCGAAAGTATTAAAGCTCTAAACCACTTAAACAATATTGTAACAGAATTTGCACAAAATCTCCAGTTGCTTTTTGTGCTCTCATTCATATTTAGTCTTCCACTATATCTCAATTTAAAAGCTTCATAGAAAAATATCTTAATTTATGATACACAAACCATATATGAAAATACTTGTAAATACAGAGAAATCATAATATCTACATACTGTACAATGCAT